GCAGCGGCGTCCGCTGCCCCGCCCGGCTCCGGAGAAGCGCCCGCGGCCGGGCGGGGGGGCGCGAGGAAGTGCAGCCATGTTGACGGGTTTCCCGGCACCTGCCGCCGGCTTCGTGCCCTGCAGGGGCATCTCCCCTGGAGAGGGGTTGCTGGCAAGCCCCGTGTGTCCCCCTTTAATCTTAGGGTCTTTTTGCCCGATAAAGAACACTGTTTTAATAATGCCGCTGGCATTAGTGGCTTCGGGGTTTAGTTCCTACTTGATCGTTAAAGAGACAAAGTGAAATGTCAAGCTGCCACCTCAGTGTTGAGCCCCGCGCATAGCTAGCGTGACTTTTGTCATGGGGATTGACTCGGATCAACCTGTTGGAAAGGGCAGGACCTGCATCTACCGTGGAAGCAGGCATCTGCTGTTTGTAACTCTCTAAGAGGTCAGTGAGGCTGACTATGTGTGGAGAGTCCTGAGCGTCACTAAAAGAAGACAGCATCCTCTTCTGAAGGGAGAGGTTGAGGTCCTACCGCAGCAGCTAGAGCAGCCAGGTAAGAGCTCTCTCAGGAGCTCAGGTAGGAAGAGTTCTAGCAAAGAGAAGGCTCTGAGGGGACCTTATAGCACCTTCTAGTACCTGAAGGGGCTACAGGGAAGGGGGTGGGGGGGCACCCATTACAAGGGCCTGTAGTGATAGGACAAGGGTTAATGGGTTTAAATTGAAAGTGGGGAGGTTTAGATTAGATACCACAAAAAAGGTGTTCCTGGAGAGGGTGGGGAGGCACTGGGGGCATCCACAGCTTCTCTGGGCAACCTGTCCATCCCTGGAAGTGTTCAAGGCCAGGCTGGATGAGGCTTGGAGCAACCTGGTCTAGTGCAAGGTGTCCCTGCCCATGGCAGGGGGGTTGGAACTAGATGGGCTTTTAGGTCCCGTCCAACCCTAACCATTCTATGATTTCTGTGAGTTTCCCCTGTTCCATTACCCAATTTATCAGTAATCGGTCAAAGCGCATCTGTATCTCTTGGCATGGCTGCCTGCTTCTTGCCTTTAACATGGCTTGTCTCATTCCTGGTAATGTTTTTATCTTGTTCACCTATTGCTGTTGCTTGTAGAGGGGAAAAGAAAAAAATGTAAAGGCACAAGTGTCTTTTCTGGTCTAGCAGGAAAAAGAAAAGCACCATGGTGATAGTTTTGCACACTGGCCTTATTGACAGGCAAGCTTTTTAGCAGGACTTGTAAGGAAAATTATCATTTTATCAATGCCAGTTGAAAATGGACTTACATTCAAGTCAATCTCAAATGGTCCTGTAATTATGTTCTCTTACATCTTTACAAAGATCCCATTAGAAGCAAGGGATGCTTGCCCAGGACATCCAAATGGATGGCCTTCTAGGAATAAGGAAAAAGGTGAGTCAACTTTCTGTGCTTTCTTGGTCACAGGAAGCTTTGTCTTTCCTTGTTAAAACTAATGAAAAGGCTGTTTTGGCATGGGTAGGAGTGGCTGATGATTGTTTCCTCTGATAGCATCAGAGTACTGCATCTTGTAGAAATATGTGGCCTTTCACTTGCTGGTGGGCTGGGTGTCATCACATCAACTGTCTTCTCTGACTTAGCAGTAAAACTGGTTATGGGTTTCTCTGGGCTTGTCTTCCTCCCTTGCCTGACTTTCCTGCTGTGACAGCTCAGGCTTAACAGATGCACCATGGCCACATGGATGCTCAGTGTCATGCTGTTATGTTCGCTGATCTACCCCCTCCCCACCTCCCCAGGAATACTTAGGTGAGACTGTAACCCTGGTGTGGGTAGGGAGTGGTACTTCCCAGTACAGTTGCACTGTTTTAGGAAATACATTGGAGACTCACCCCTGGTCCCTGGCAGCTTGTGCAAAAGGAACAGTGTTGCTCTGAAGTTGTGTGTGGACTTCCATCTATCATCAGCCAGCATGTAGGGTGAGTTTTGACTGCTTCTCCTTCCACCAGCTTTCTGACTCCTCTGAGGGTTTTCCTCAGGCTGCTGAGGTTTCTCACACCTTCTTATTTTGATTGAAATAGGCCAACAGATTTTTTTGGTTTTGTTTTTTGGAGTTTTTTTTGCCAGGGAGAGAAAGGATGGTGGTGGGGGAATCAGTGGTAATAGCTTTGCTTCTTAAAGCAGGCTGAAACCTGCATGTGTCACTGGCACCTGTTTCTGAGCCCCCACCTCCATCCCTGTTGACTTGTGTTAGTGCAGTGAGCTCTTGAATGTAGCCAGTACCTTTGTGGTATCAGCAAGTGTCTGTACCTAGTGACGTCCCCATGAAACTAAAAGCATAGCTATAAATGTTGATGGTTTTGACTGTTAGTGTTACTGAACCAGTGCTAGGTAGTGTGACTCAGGGGTTCTAATCTTTGTAAACAAGGACTCTTGGGAATGGATGCTGTACTGATCAGAGAAAAGGGGTCTACCAACTATCACAGTCTTAACATGGTTTTGCTTCTCCTAAATATGAACCTTCCCTCCTAAAAATTAAAGATGACCAAAACCTTGACTTCTAAAAGTGCAATGAAAAATGGTCTGTTACTATTTTCAGTAACAGCAACAGTGCTACAGTGGTCTGCCATCAGCAAGCATTCCTACTTTAGCTCTGTGTTCATGGGAGGAGGAGTAAGGTGCTCTGTCTGTCAGAGAATGGCACTCAGAAGAATGGCAGGACTGGGACCAAAGCTCTGCCTAGCTCTGTCCTCTCCTAGTGGATATTTAAAGAGGAATGCATGTGTAGAACAGGTGAAGGTAAGAATTTGCAGTGTGTTCTTGCCTCTACCAGACCGGCTTGGACTTCTGACCTGGAGATTGTCTCCAGACTGTTTTCCTTTTAATTGCCTCTTGGGTTCTTCCCACCCACCAAATGCATGTGAGGATTGTAACAAGCAGTCACCTGTAGGTGACAAGCCTTTTCAAGTAAGTACTACAGAGTTGTTCAGATAGTTGTGGTCACGCTATGTAGCAAGTAACATCTGTTGAAGTCTAGAGCCCAAAATTCTCCCTTTCCTACAGGTTTGAAAAGTACAAGTTTGTGGTCTCCACCCAGTTGCTGAGAGGGAAGGAGAGTTTGAACTACCTTCACTGCTGTTGAGTTCCTCCCACGTGTACCTGTATGTTGGAGGAACAGGTTTTGCCAGATCCTATAAGACACTGCATTATGGCTTCTAAGAAAGATGCTCTTTTAATGTTGAGACAGGAGCTTGTCTTGGTCTTAGAAGCCTTGGAACATAAGGTTGGTCAGTTTGTGACTGGTAAATTACAGAAGATGTCTAGAAGTAGGAGTATTAAAACAAACAAACAAAAAAAAACTCCACAGAAAGATGTCTAGAAGTAGGAGTATTAAAACAAACAAACAAAACCTCCACAGAAAACCAAAACCACCAACCTCCTCTCTAGTTCACATGGGGTTAGAGTGATGTTGATAATGCAAGAAATAGCTTGTCCAAATTAAGGATGTGCTGCCTCTCCACTTGAGAGAGTTGCATGGTGCTTGATACTGCTGCTTGGGCTAGTTCTGTTTTCCAAGGAAGAAAGGGTAACTCGAGTGAAGGAGAGGACTTCTAAACAGCTGTCTTCAGCTGTCTTTCATGTCTAGCTGATAAGCAGTGCAGCTGAAAATCCCACTGCCATTCATCAGTTCTCTTTAGCTTATTTCTGGGATAAGAAATAAAAAAAGAGAAGGCATGAATGATCAATTCTGAAAATAGAGCTGGATCTCATTCCAGATACTGTGACGTGAACTCTTGGCTGATGAACAGAAGTGAAAGCCCTGCTTCCTGCTGCTGCATTAGTGTAGACTGATGTGGGAGATAAATGTACACCTTGAGTGTCAAGGGAGCAGAATAGGTCTGGCTGTGACTTCATGTGCAGGTATTAAAGAACTTTATTACAAGGTTCTTGTACTTCATTGTGTCTTATAGTAACTTCTTTAACTTTTTCTTTTCAGCCACCAAAGTTCTTGGCACAGTCAAGTGGTTCAATGTCAGAAATGGATATGGCTTTATCAATAGGTATGTTTACATTATGATAGGCATAGCTACACTTTACTGAGACTCATGGTACAGATAACATGCTGAGACTCATGGTACAGATAACATGCCATGCATTAGTAATTTCAGCAGAGGCCTGAACACCTGACTACAAGTTCATGAGGTTGATAGTCAGATTGAGCAGGCATTCAAAAAACTCTTATCTCGGGGGATTTCCCTTCCCCCCTTATCCTCAATCGAAGATTGACCCTTTCTGTTTGTTTTTTCCCCATACACACAGACTCATTACAAATTTGGTCTGTTGCTTATTTCTCATGTTTACCTGTACTACGCCTTTAATGGCCCATATGTTCTCTCATGACTGCCTGTCTTTTAAAAAAGTGCAAGTAAGGTGGGAGGATGAGGGGGTAACAATTCAAGTGTTAACTGATAGGTCAAAACACCTACTCTAAATACACACTGAGATTCTCTGATATCATCTAACTGAAGATAACCCACGCCTGGGTTCGCAGAAATTCTCTCTTTGTATCTTTTTTCTCTTATTCTGTGAACATGATCAAACTGCTGAATGGCATTGATAATCCAAATAGCTGTAAGGGATACTGATCACATTCCAACCCGAAGTGCACAAGAACAACACTTCAAGTTACTGGAGATAACTTTGGCATTTAAGGCTGAAATAACCATGTGGTTGAGGGGCTTAAATGTCTTGTGTGCTTCATGAAAAACGAAGCTCCTGCATGATGATTGCTTGTTTTGCAAAGGACATACCTGGCAAGTTATTTTGTCCTGAAAGTCCTTGGAGTGCTACATAGCAGGTAGGTTTGGGTAAGTTATATGCTGTAGAAAGGGGAGAAGAGCCCTGTTTCATGCATCTGAAGCCAGTTCTGGTACAGTATTAATCTCAGTCCCTAGAGACTATTATCCAGTGTGATGTAAGCTTGAAAGAAAAGCCTGGATTAGGAAGTACTTCAAGTCTCCCATAGCAGTTGATGCAAGATCCTTCAGCTGGATATGGTGGAGTAACTTCTTAGCTTTCTTCTAAACTGAAGTCTCGTATTATTTCAGTCAGGCATGACAAGTTTTGCATTATGCATTATCTTCACAAACTCTTTGACCCACCTGTTACCTGTGCAGAGAAGGAATTGAGTGATCAGACAGCAGGGTCTGGGCTCTTTCTGTAGTATGGGGATAGATAATCAGGGTCTCAGACCTGTCTTCATGTTTGTCATGCAGAAGCCTGAACTGGCTGGCCTGATCCAGACAACCTTATGTTTGTGTCTGGGTGCCCCTCCAATGGACTCTTCTAACACCTCTTATGCACAGTTGCTTTGAGTTTCACTGAAAGGAGAGCTCTGTTAACAGCTGTGGCCAGTCCTGTTGATAGTCTTGCTTGACCTCTGGGATAACAGCTCAGGTTGCAGCCCTTGTGGAAGTCTTTTGAGGGGAGGTGGAATAGTGAAAGGCGTGCAGGCCAGGCATTAACTCAGCCCTCTGTCAAAACAAAATACTGAACTTCTGCCCAGAAGATTAGAGAACGTCCCCCTGTCTCCTCGCCCATCTGAAGGGTGGGGAGTCCCTTCTGATATTAAGCATATGACCCTGGAAATTCAGAGCAGGGTCTTGGTAGCACAGACTTAAGCAGAATGTATGTAATCTGGGGGTTGTACTACAGGCTGGGGGAAGGAAGGTTTCACTTGAAGTCAGGGGTTTTTATTTAAGTCTTAGTCTAAACTCTTACTTCTTATTTTCTCTTTGCAGAAATGATACCAAAGAAGACGTGTTTGTTCATCAGGTAAGACAGCAGTAATTGTACTTTGAGATGTGCATATTGGTAGGTTTGTAATGCAGTTTCCTGAAACAGCCACCCAATTTTCTGGCTTCCTAGAATATTTGCCAAATACCTTGAATGGATGTGTATGGTGTAGTTTTTATGGAGGAATATTAGGGTATGTTTTCTTCTCTCTGGAGTTATAACTGTAGCAGGAGGTATTACAACCCTTCATGCTTCTTTTGTCCCTCTGATCTGAGCACGAAAGGCTGCCTTTTTTTTTTGGTGTGGTTTGGTTTTGTTTGTTTGTCCCTTCCCTGTTTTATAAATACCTTGCTACTTACAGTCTGTCCTTACACACACACACCCCAGTCTCCATTTCCTTGTGCACTATGTGTCTTCTGTTTCTTCCTACCCTCTTCATTCGCAGGTCTGTTCTATCTGCCCTCCCTGGTATTGGAGGGAAAGTGATCTAGTTTGGCTCTTGACCAGCCTGGGTTGCCATCAGCTGTTGCTGTATGAGGCAGCTGTTCTTAGGCAGAAGAGGAAGGCTGTGTGCCAAGTGTGCCCAAGCAGAGAGAGGTTACCCAGCAGCTTGTCATTGGTTAACTTTTCCTTGAACTGTCAGTAGGCTGTTCTAAGTTTATACTGTGACTGTCAGGTCACAGGCAACTCATGGGAAGACAGAGGATGCTGTCTCCATGCTGATATAAACTGATTAGTTGGCTTAGATCTGGTTTTGCACTGAGACATTTTTAATTCCACAAAATAGAAATACTGCCCCTGGAGCTTGTCCCATATGAGATGTCTGCAGGCCCATGTGATTCTTAAAAGTATGAGCTTTCTCTGGCATAAGTGGCAGTATTTCCATCAAAAGTAACCTGTACTTGGAGTTGGTCACAGAGAATGACTCTGTGTGCGTGTGTAGTTGTGTTAAACATGCTGGTCAACATCAGGAGTTCATTTAGGTTTAGACCTGTTATCCTTAAAACAGAGGAGTTTGGGAGGGAGAAAGTATCACACTTTTAACGAGTGAAGATGTCAAAGTGTGCACAGTACGCATTCCCAGTTCAGTTGGTGGGCTGAGAGCAAGAGCTGTCAGTGCATGTACCGATTTCCAATGGTTGCCTTAATGAATGCTCCTTCCTTAATGAAGTGTGTTGTGTACATGCTGATACAGATGCTCCATCTGTGGCCCGATGGGAACGTGTCCAGAAGGAAGGTGGGAAGAATTCTAGTAGCAGAAATATGTTCTGGATAGGCAGCGCTGTTAAACTACCTCGAAGACAAATTGAGGTCTCTCGAGACCTGTGAGAAGGTATCCTGGAAAGTGGTTGCGGTGTTGATGACAGAGATAACACAGGTCAGTTGTTACTCTGCTTGGGAAGTCTGCCTGCAGAGACCCGAAGAGTGAAGGCCCACAGCAAGCTAGTACTATCTGTGCTGTTTTGTCTACTTTGCCTGCAGGAATTAATCACCCAGATGTGTGTGTGTGTGTGTAACTTACTACTTCAGGCACAGCAGATGAGAGATGAGTACTGAGCCAAACTGGCTTGATGTTTGAGAAGTACCACATCATGTGCAAGCTTGCACCTGATTAACCCTGTTGGCAGGCTGTGTGTGGCTTCCAGCTCTGGCCTGGGTTGGCTGCAGTCAGGTGTTCCTCAACTCTTCCATCTTGAGCTGTTCCCGTAAGCGAATGCTCACTACCACAGCCTGGGGCTTTCTGGCTGGAGCTTCCTCCAGAATTTGGCTCCACAGGGCCGACAGAGAGGCAAATCCACTGAGTAAGCAGACATCCTGCTGGGAGCTCAGGCTCCTCAGTTAGTGCCAGTTCTGCCCCTCCTCCCCACACCCATCCCGGGAGGGGCTGGATTACATGCCTAATCCCTTCAGAGTAAGGCTGACCTAGTTGAATAGATACAGCCCCCTCCCTGCCTCCCCAGCACGCATCCACAGTGGGGAGGGAACAGGCCGATCTCATGATTGGAATGGGGGTTAATGCTTGGTGTCTGGCCATTGGATGCTATTTATAAACCTAGTACAGATTAAAATGCTTTCCTCTTTAGGGCATGCATGGCTTGCTTTAATTAACCCTTTGTCTTGCAGGGGATCCAAGCAGTGTTTTGGGGAAGGGCAAATCCTCACCTCCTTTGTCTTGCTTGCATCCTTGTCCGTTGGTTTTTGAAAGGTGCTACCTAGGGCACAGTTGGTTAGAGGTCGTGTGAGCAATGGTGATCAGCCCACCTTGTGGTGTGGAGTGTCTCTGGGGAGGGAGGAGGGTCTTTCGGTTTAACACCCTTCTAAGTATCAGTAACCAGAGAAATCCAGTTTAATTGGGCATAGTTTGAATCAACAGGCAGTGAGGAGGAGTTAACCTCTTCTACTGTACAGGACTTCATTGTTCTTCACTGGATGGTATTCACTGTGCACAGCTTGGTGTATGTGCACCAGTAACTGGTGTAACACATTTTGGCTGTTGCTGTGACAACGCTGCACATGCACATGATGTGGTTGGTGATAGCATGAGGATATGGGAAGAATGCTTCCTGACAAAGTACTGAACTAGCTCTGAAGACTCTTATACCAGTTCATCAGTGTCCCCTTGGGAAAGGCTCTGTCTTAATTGTTGAGTGCTGTCTGTGTTAACACAAAACATCTGTTGAATCAAAGCAGCTGGAACCTACTGGATGCTGGTGAACAGTAATAGGGAGGGTAGTGCTTGCTCGCCCCTGTGGATACATGGAGCAAAAGTCTTTATCAAGCTTGTTGGAGCTTTGGCTTGTTAGAAGCTTATTTCAGCAGTGTTTACCTGCAGCTGAAGTAGGAAGTTGTAAAGCAGTATAGCTTCTTCCCTGAATTCTAGGACTTACTCAAAATTGTTCCTGGTTGCCTTTATAAAACAAACCCTTCGCCTACTGCCTGGCAGTCTCTGTCTCCTACTGGCAGGTCATTCAAATACAAAGCTGCGTTTTCAAGTTTCTGTCCCTAAAGCTGGAACAGAACATGTGGAATCCTAGTGAATTTATCTTCCTCCCTTCTTGGAGGATGTTTGAGGAGCTTGATTAATCTTAAGTACACCCTCTGCTGAAAAGAAATCTGGTGGTCCGTCCTTCCTCTGCACTTAGGAGGAAGGAGGAGTTTGAAATACAGCTTGTGTTCTGCGTATGATGGAGCTGTCCAGTCTTAACGGAGATCTTCAGTTGTTTCAGTACAAGTGGTTGGGAAAGAATTAAACCCTTTATCTGCAGTGAAGATAATGATTTTGGTATTGGTATATAGCATGTATGAAGAAGCTAGCACTTCCAGCTAATTTCTAAAGGTCAGTTACACTAATAGGTCAGTGTAAAGTGAACAAATGGTGGGAGTCTCTGCTTTGTAAAGCAGTTAGCAAAAGAATTCACTTGAGCAGCTCATTCTCTTCCTCTGTCAAAATAAAACCCTGCTCTTGAGTTGTTTATGTTTTGATAGCAGTCATATGTACATTCTTGCATTCTTTCTTAAGCTGTTCAGGGATGTTGCAGGGTACGGGGAAAGGTGTGGCTAGATGTAGGGCTAAAAGGACATGCTGGCCTAGTGCCTAAAACACAAAGGGGACTGTATTCAGCAATAATGAGAATGCTTTCCCTAAACTGGCCAAGCTCAACGTT